GCCCCACCTCCACCCCATGGCAAGGTCCCTGTGGTCTGGGTACAACTTGCACTGTCTTTACCAGCAGCCATCCCTGAGAAGTGCTTTTTGGCTGGTTCTCCCTGTTCCATCGCCCACAGCCTGTGTGCTCTGCCCAGCTCTGCCCAGCAGCAATCAGAGTGGTGGGAAGGATCCCTGTTGCCTCACCAGCTCCTCCCCCACTGGGACAAGTCTGCTCTCGTCCTTCTCACCCTTACCATGCCACATGTCTTCTGAGAACCTGGTTGACGTTCCACTTATTTCTGTCTATTCATTCAACAGAGGCATGTTACATAGGAGGAAATGCACACAGTCAATGGTAATCAAAGAAATGTACAAGAAAACAACAACGAGAGGTTATTTTTAGCTATCATATCATCAAGAATTTAAAATAAAGATAGTATCAATTGTTAGCATGTATGCAGGGAAATAAGCATGCTTTTACATTGTCATGGAAATGCAAATGGGTGAGAGATTTTCAAAGATAATTTGATAGTACATATATCAAAATTCCAGGTCTAACAGTTCCACTTCTAGGAATCTATCCTGAAGAGATGATTCATGTGTTTTCAAATATGTACATAACAAAGATGTTCGTTCTTTCATTGTTTACAATAGTGAGAAATTGGAAACAAACAAAAAGTTCATTAACAGGGGGATGGTTAAATAAAACAAGTTACAGTTATCCTAAGGAATAATGTGTGGTCATTAGTAAGTAGCGTGGGCCTCCATGCACAGCATGGAAGTGTCCGTAAGACACATTGTTAAGTGAAGAAAGCAAGTTGGGAATGATGCATATAATATAGTCCTATTTATACAAGAAAAAGGTAGAGTGTATGTGGGCAAACACGTGTGTGAATGCTTAATGCATGGACAATGGACCAGAAGGATCACATAGACTCTGGGAGAGGAGTGAGAATGAGGGAGGGGATGAAAAAAAAAAACAAGATTAAAAAGCTGACGGTGAAGCAGGTGCACAAAACAGCAAGATCATTGATTTGCAATCTGATGAAAATGACGACATTTCTAGATTCATCTCTCCAACACAATTTTCAAAAATTGAAGTGTTAAATGTAAAAATGGAATCATAGAAAAGTAGCCAAAATTAAATATTTATAACTTTGGTAGAGAAGTGAGTTTTCTCTAAACTTTGAGGCCCTGGAAGAAATCACAGAGGGGAGGCTGACAAATTCCACCACAGAACAATTGGAAACCTCTGTGCAAAATGCCCTCTCCAAATTCAAGAGACAAAGGGAGTATTGCTATGTGGATTGTGCAAGAAGTCGGTACTCAAATCAAGGCACAAAAAAGCCAGACTAAGAAATAGGTAAAATTAGGACACATTTGCATTAGAAAATAATTCACCACATGTTTCTTTTAGATGAGACAACCTACTGGAGCATCTAAAATATAGCTCAGTTTTTCCCCCAGGTCCTCCACCCTAGACTTTCCAGTCCAAACCACTGCATAAATTAAAAAGCCATCTCCGGCTCCCCTGCTTCTATTTGCTCCCATGATGCAATGGTCTGGTCCACACGTGGTAGGTGTTAGATGCTGCTGTGGGCAGGGTGAGTCTCCAGGACTACTGCACTGGGCACTGTTCAGAGTGTCCCATACATGCCCACAGCACAGCACGGTGGCTCTGATGTGCCGCAAAAGCTTCTCTGGGCTTCCCTTTCCTCGTCATCTCTGTCCTGCCCTGACAGATAATCTGATGAGTTAATACATGGATGGAGTCAAAGTCAAGTTCTGTTCCCCGTTGCTTCCCAGCAGCCTGGGACCCCATAGTATCCTGCAGTGGATCTTCTGTAAGTGTCTGCTCGTGTCAGATGCTAAATGCCCTGCAAGTGTTTGAACCAGGATCACCCTACTCTTTCCTGACTAAACAATGCAGCAAGCTCTGAGCTCTCTCCGCAGTGGGTTGGAGGATGCCCTGGAATCTTAGGAGTTCTTTCTGAACCTTGTACAGGCTGAAGGTAGCCTCTCCATCCAGGCCAGGAGGCTCCTAGGACACCTCACCTGCTTCTCGCCTAGGCACAGCCCTGACACTCTGCCCGCATTTGGTCCTGGAGGAACCCTGGAGGTTTCATGGGGGAGGTGACAATGCAGCTCTCTGGAGGTGGAGCAGGAGCTCCCCAGAGAGATGAAGGGAAGGGTCAGCAGGTGCCAAAGAGCATGAAGTGGAGAGAACAGGGCGGGGCACATTGTGGTTGGGCTATGGGGGTGGGGTGGGGGTCAAGTGCAGACTTTGGCAAGGCAGGAGCCACAGGAGGGATCTGACCAGGGAGACTGCTTTGCTGGGCTGGGTCTGAAGGCAGGGGATGGGCCAGGAGGTTTAAAGAAGAAAGCAAGTGGTGGAATGAAATGTAGGATATAATTCTATTCATATGGAAAGGGATTCACGTAGAGATGCAAGAGCACCTGTGTGAGCGCGGGGCTATGGCTGCGAGGAGGCAGCTGCACCCACTTGCTGTCAGGAGCAACTCACTCGTTCGTCTCTTACTCCTGGTGTCTATTCCAGGCTGGAGCCAGGCATGGGGGACCTGGAGGACTCAGAGGTGTTTCCTTACCTCAAAGGACCAAGGGAATCAGAGAGGGCTTCTTGGAGGAGGTGACTCTCCCAGCAGGTGATAGGAAACCCGGGGTAGGGAAAGACGAAAGTGGGCTCCATGGGATCACACCCACTCAGGTGTCCTCTACCTTGCTTCTCCCTGGTCCTCAGGAGAGACGCTTTGAGGGAGACGAGCTGCTGGGATCCCAAGGAGCAGGCACAACACTGCCTGGAGCCCCCCCCCAGAGGTGCCCAGAGCCTCCCACCTGGAATCCTAGCATCCATCGTGCCCCTCTTCTCCTGCTGGGTGCGTATCCCTTTCTTCTTCCCCAAATGGGAGGAGGGCTGAGGGGCTCCTTCTGGCTTCAGGAAATGCCTTTAAGTGTCCTGCTGAGCCAGACCTCTGCTGAAGGAACAGGCTGGCTGCAGTTGTGAGGTGGCCATGTGCCCAGGCAGCTCCCGCAGGCTTGTCTGAGAGCAGGAAAGAGGCATCAGACTCTGGCTGGATACAAAATGGAAGTCACAGCTGGAGACTGGGTGAGGAGGGCAGAGGTAAATTTCTCTGCGGGAGACAGGGTTGGCAGCAACACTTGAGGGCTTGGGTTCTCCACACTAGACCCCTTCTCCCAAACAATGCCATCATGCTTTGCAGGAGGCAGGCACTTCCTCTGTGTGCCAAAGACAGACTTCTGCCGGATTGCTGAAAACGATAGGCAGGTAAAAACACAATTCTAGTTCCTCGAGCCACACCTCCCGGCTGCTTTGTAAATCACCTGCTCCGGGGCAACCAGACTTGGAGATCCGACTCTCCAGTCAAAACCTGACAGGGTCATGTGGCGGCACCGTCCGCCCTCTGGTGGTCTGTTCTGTGCAAAGACGCCAAGCTCCCATCCCTTGAACAAAACGCAGTTTGGCAGAAAATCCACAAGGAGCGTTTGAAAAGTAAACACGTGTTCTTTTTCACCTTCTGGACTCCTTGATTTAATGTCTAGCAAAGAAATATACGTCAGCCCCACTCCTGATATTCACTTGTATTCAGCAAAGTAAGAAAATCTTCTCATAAAGATGAACTCTACCGACAGAAACGTGGTTTTGTCACTAAAAAGAGACAAGGAGGGCTTAGAAGAGCAGACACAGTTCAACCTGATGGGCAGGGCTGATGTTTGGTCTGTTTCTTGGGTAGCAAGACTCGTTGGAGATGCCTAAAAGGATTGCCCTCCACGGCAGCGTAACACAGGGTTAAGAGAACCAGACTGCCCAGTTCAAATGCCTGCTCCACCTCGTACTAGCTGTGTGATCGTAGGCAAATTATTTAAACTCACCATGCCTCAGTTTCCTCATCTGTAAATGCGGATGATAATAGAATTTCTCTTGCAGAATTGTTCTGAGGATTAACTGAGTTTATACACATATAAGCTACTTTGAATAATGTCTGGGAGGCGTTACTGAAGTGTTTGAGTTTGCTGGTGCTGTTATTGTAAGAAGTAAGAGCTCAGGCTGATCCAACTTGCAATATAGACCACAAATGTGGCAAACACTGGTCACTGTTAGCCACCAGCATCCGAGACCCTTCCCACTGGGGGACAGTCCCTTTCCGCACCGTGGAGATAGGAGGGGCAGATAGCCCCTGTCCCTAGCCTCGAGCAGATGTGTCTTGGTCATGTGACCCCATCCAGGACCGGAACCCTCTGCAAGGGACACACAAATGCAGCAACGCTCGGCAGCAGTGACAGAGCCAGAGTCCTGCAGCCAGGCCGGTAGGTGGTCACTGGGGGAAGAGGACAGATGTGGTACCTCAAGCCAGCCAGTGCTGGCGTGACCCTGCTTGGCCCCTAGCTGTCAGCCCCCCTGTTTCTTATTTCACCCAGCTTTCTGCCTTCCTCTGAATTCTGTGAGCTATTCAGCAGCTCTGTTTAGTTCTGTCATTTCTACCTAAGAATCCTGACGGGTATAAGGACACTGTTGCCCAGAGAGGGCAAGGGGCGTGCTCAAAGTCACACAGCAAGCCTGGTGCAGGCACGGCCAGTGCCCACCCTGGTCTTCCAAGTGTGTCCTTCCCAGCTCTGCCATATCCAAGCTCAAGGGCACAGAATCACAGCCTGTTTCAAGGAGTAGCGACAAATTCTCAACTACTGTGGGACACAAGAAAACCACAAAGCAATACATTTAAGGCACCTAATTTCTTCGGGGGCTACAAACCTTCCCCATCAGCTGCAGATCCCTTCAGCCAACATCGCAGTATAAGCAGTTAACGGCTCAAGGGCTCCCCCCAGTGGCTGTCTTGTTGGCAGTAGGGCCCTGAAGGCCTTGACTGCTGACTTACTGGACCAGAGCCAGGGACCCTAATAAGGAGTCCCTTGGCTATACCTCTGACTCCCATGCAAGGACAGGGAAGGTGGGAGCCCTGGGGCAGAGGAGGCCGGATCCAGATACAACACAGTTGGGTCCGACGGGGAACATTTCCCCAGACAGCATCCACCCTGAGACGCCCCCTGGAGGTTCTGTCCCCAAGCCCCAGATTCATGCCCATCCCTGTTACTCTGTGGGTCCCCAAGAGAGGCCCCAGTGCTCTGAGTGCAGTGACAGCTGAGGCTCATCTCTATCTTACAGGTGACATAGGTCGTCCAGAGTCTGCTGAAAAGTAAGATGCGTGTGCACCAGGATGCGGGTGTGTCCACGCACGAGCACACAAGCACACGCTCACACGTGTGCACATGTTCACACTCACATGCACACCACACACATGCACACCCCACACATGCACACACACAACAACAGTTTTGTTAATACAGAGCGTTAACTGAATGGTCACTGATTTTTTTCTTTTCTTGTTGTTTTTTTTGTTGTTGTTGTTTTTACTTTTTTTCTGCTGCCAGAGTGAACAGAATAGAAAACACAATTCGTTTAAGGTCCCCAAGCCTCAGTTTTCCACTCTGTCTCTCCCCAGCAGGTGCTGCGCTGAATGCCTGTGGAGAGGAAGATGGCAGGTGGTGGGCCCTTCTGTCCTCTGAGGTGACACAGAGGTGGGGACACGGGGCTGAGGGGCCTGGTCAGGGAGCAAAGCACAGGTCCTGCCCCCACATGTAACTCGGCAAACCTGCCCATCCTTAAATGCTTCCAAGGAGCCAGGTGCAGAGGCCACCATGACGAGTAAGATGCGGGTCTCCGTCCCGGGAGGTGACAGTTCTGCAAATGGGATGTTGCCATGTGACCTCAGCTCTTGGGCGCGCTGCTGAAACTCTGAGCTGCTGTAAAATGGGTGATAACAGAATCTGCCCTTGATTATGCTTATAGTAACAATTGAATATGAGAAGGCAGGGCGAGTGCCCACCCAGAGTCCATTCTCTCTAGAGGTTGGCCGTATCGCTGAGATAGCTAAGCACCTTCTCATCGTCCAGGTTTGTCTGTGTGCGGATTGCATTTTCCACACGCCCTGCAACACAATCCAGGCCCACGGGGACTGAGCAGCACTGCCCCACGGTGAATGCTCTGGGGACATCTGGACAGAAACCCATTAGCTGGTTATGAGTATTTTGACACAGCTTCCCACTGTGGGGAGTAGCCAGACCCCAGAGAGGCAAGGGAGTCACTTTGTATTTCAGACAATAATCCGTATTTTCTTGTAAAAATGATATATATTCATTTTGACATTTCAAAGAAAACTGAAAACAACTCCAAATCCTGATTCTGAGAAATAACGATTGCCAACTGCAGTGGGCAGAATACGGACCTCCCCAGAGATGCCCACATCCCTCTCCCCAGAACCCGTGAATATGGTGGCAAAGGGCACTTTGCAGGTGTGAGTAGATTAAGGACCCTGAATTGGAGACATTATCCTGGAGTCTCTGGGTGGGCCCAACGCAATCACCATAAACGTAGAGACGCTACCCATGGCAGGTCAGAGAGACGAAACAGACACTGCTCTATTCTCCCTTTACAAACACAGTGATGTGCATGTCTTCATCTTCTGTGTCAACCGTCTTCCCCAAGCTCCCCTCACATCTTTGCTCTCTCTTTGTTTTGGGTGATTTCCTCAAGGACTCCCAGGGGACTCTAGGGGTGGGTGCTGTTTTTCATTGTCCCCCATGTGGCTCTCCACACTCCAGTAGAGTGCAAGAAGGATGCCCAAGTGACCTGGCAGAGTCTGCAGCTTCAGTTAAAATGCCATCGTGTTTCCTTTTCTTTCTCCGGAGTAGCCTGCTTCCCCTCCGTCTTCAGCATTTAAAACTTGGGCTGGCTCAGAGTTAGTCTCCCCAAGTCACGGTCTGTCTGTGGTGTGGTTCAGTGATCTCCAGCCCCCTCCCGTCTCGGTCGCTAAGGTGCTCAGTCAGAGATGGCAGGAATGATGATCCGGCAGTCTCTCTCGTCTCTTCCAGCCCTGGGTCTGTCTCTGCATGACAAACAGTGACATGACAGCCACCACTTAATCACACACGCATGGTTTTGTGGACGAGACATCTGGTGTGGGCTTAGCCGGGCGCATATTCTATTCTAGGCAGCAATGTCTAGAGTCACTCGGTGACGTTCAATTGGTGGCTAGCCTGGTCCTGGAAGGTCCGAGGTGGCTTCACATGCCTGGTGGCTTGGTGGGGATGACTGGAAGGCTGGGCTCTCCATGTGATCCCTCTAGCTGGGCAGTCAGCTTAGGCTCCAAGAAACAGAAAGCACCACTGGAAATAATCTTTTAAAATCTAGGCTGGAACTGACATAGCATCACTTCCGCCATCCAGAGCCTAAGGGAAGGGAAAGAGACCCCCTTCTCAATGGGGGCGTGTCTTAAGGATTTAAAGCCCCCTTCAATCCATCCCGCTGCTCCCCCTGCGGGAGGAGTCGACCGCTTTTGTCTTGAAGAGCCAGGTGGTAAATATTGTCAGCTTTCCGAGGTGTGCAGTCCCTGTCACACCTGCTCTCCCCTGCCCTTGTAATGTGAAAACACACGGTAACATGTCAGTGAGTGAGCACGGCTGTGTTGCAATAAAGTTTTACTCATAAAAATGGGAAGCTGTCTGCGGGCCATAGTTTACTAACCCCTGTGCTGTAGGAACAAGCTGGGTCTCTTTGGGGACATTCCCCATTTCTCCTGTCACTTCTAATTCTAATCAACGGATCATTCGATAGGCCTCGAAGGACCAAGACTCTCTCTGAGGGACCCCGTGTCCTACGTGTGGCCTGAAGAGGTGTGTGTGCCTGGGCCCCCAGGGGCCTCCCTTGCTTTGGTCCAGACACCCTGGGGTTTGGTAGGTGAGCTTCTGTGCGGGTGTCTCCCCTCCCGCGCTGTGTGCCGTCTGGGGAGCATCAGCCCTGTGCTCCCTTAAGACAAGGGGCGGGCCGGAGACTAAGCCGGGCCTGCTGGACTCTCTCCCAGGCTTCTAGATCTGGGCACAGAGCTGCAAGGATGGACTTTTTTTTTGGATGGTGGGAACTTACTTATCCCAGTGGTCCAACCTCAGCAAACCTCTTGAGTAGTTCTCACTGCCTGTGGCAGAGATGACCTGGGCTCTGCAGTGTTCCTGCCTCCATGGGTTCCTGGGAACATGCTCAGGCTACACTTCCCAGGCTCCTTTGCACTCAGGCCTGGCTAGTGGGATGTGCACGAAAGTGATGTGTGTCATTTCCAACATGGTCCATTACAAACCTCCCACTTGTGGTCCTCACTCTGTTTCACCGTCTAACGGTCGAATGGAGAGGATCCCAAGAACTCAGAGCAGGAAGGGGCCACAAGACGGAAGGAACCCAGATCCCCAGATGACTCTGTAGAGCAAAGGGCCCCACAGTCACCACCAGCAACCACCACCACCAGTCACCTAGCTAGACCGTGACACCTTGAACTGTTAAACCCCTGAAATGTCGGGTTGCCACTGCAACAATTACTCTACCTTGGTTACTACCGGTTGTGCCCGTTTCTGGGCCTCCAGCCTTTCCCTAGATTCCTCCCAATGACGTTCTTTTATACTCAAGGTTTTCTACCCGCGGCCATGTCTCCTGTTTGTAATCAAAGAAGCCTGCCGACAGGAGCTGGAAGGGGCCACAGAGACCCCGTCCCGAAACTCGGGTCCAGAAAGGAAACATAAATAGCCCTAAATCACATGGATGTAAGTGGTGGAATGGAGCCTGGAACCCAGACCTCCTGACTCCCCATTCAGCCCCCTTCCCGTGGTCCTGGGATATGTCTTGCCCAGAACATAAATCTGGATTCCTGTGATGGCAGTGAAATGCACAGAATCACCTCCAGGCATCGATTTTGCCCAGAGGACCCCGCGCCTGCACCGGGGGCTCGGAGCAAGGATCGATGGGGGTCTGGGTCCTTGGCTGTAAATCACAGCAGAGAGAGCAAAGCAGCCCTGTTTTCTAGCAGTAAATCCAGCCCCAGCTAGCAGCCCAGCTGTTCTCCTTCTTCTTTCACGACCCTACCTTGTAGATCAGAGTTTAAGAGAGAGACAGACAGAGAGCGCATTCCTCACCTCATTTATTTTCTCCTCAATACATTAAAAAAAAAAAACCTTAAATTTTGAAATAATTTCAGATTCAAAGAAGAGTTACAAAGTTGGCACAGAGAGGTTCCACGTCCCCTTCACCCAGCCTCCCTTGACATTACATCCCCCACCAGAGCACATTTACTAAAACTAAGAAATTAACATTGGTACCCTCAACTACAGACCTCACCTGGATTTCCCCAATTTTTCCACCTATGTCCCTTTTCTGTTCGAGGACCCCATCCAGGACATGAGGGTCAATCTGTTACAGCTGCCCACTTTTCCTTGTTTTTCACAACCCTGGTAGCTTGGAAGAACATCAATCAGGCATCTGTAGGATGCCCCTCAGTCTTGTCAGATATTTTCTCACCTGTGGCTGTAGATTTGGGAGAAGACTACGCAAAGGGAAGGCAGCATTCCCTTTGCATGAGCCCAGGCTGCAAGTGACATCAGCATCATTTACTAAGCTTGGTGTTTACCTGGACCACTTGGTCGGGGAGGCACCTGCCAGGTTCCACCGCTGAACAGTCACTGCTTTCCCTGTTCCGAACTCTGTTTGTCATAATCGAGCCGTGGTGCAGCCCACGCTCCAGGGGAGAGGAGTTCTCCCTCAGTACTCCTGAAATGTGCTCTGTGATCTCAGCGGCCTGATGACTCCAACCAGCCTGTGCTCAGAGGCCCGTGGGGGCCCAGGGCTGGTGCCAGGGGCCCTCACGCCAGCCTACTCTCTCTTCCTTGCAGCTGTCCAGTTGCCCACTGGCTGCCCAGGGCACAAGGCGGAGTGGGCAAGACCCAGGCTGAGAGCTGGCCTCTTGTTAAGAGCTTGGTGTAGGCTGCCAGGCTGGGGGACAGGTGGGGGCACCAAGGAGGTTTGAGGGTGATGGGTCCAATTTCTCCATCATGCCTCATCCCTGCCTGCAGCAGAGAGTCTCTGCTCCCCACTCTGGGTAACTCAGGGGTTCAGAGAGCACACAGCTCTGGGGTGCTGGTCTTTTAGGGCTGCGATGTTTGGTCTCCTTCATCCTGCAGGGTTCTGAGTGATGAAGTGCACACACAAAGGAAAATAGCCAGGTGGGAGAGAAAGGGCTGCTTTAAACATCACTGGGAAAATGCTGGATGCCAGAACCTCTGGTGCAAAGCTTTGGTAAAAAGCTCCCTTGGAGAGAAAAGCTTTGGCTTGAGGGCAACTCATATTTTGGGGATCTAAGATTCTCAGGTGTGCATGGGGGAGGGGGTGAGGAGGAGGTTGGAGAGGGAGGAGGAGGGGGAAGGAGGAGTAGGTGGGGGAGGAGGCAGAAGAGGAGGAGGAGGGGACACTGTCTGTGGAGCAAAATCCTGGCACATAAGTTAAATCAGCCCACTACCCATCGAGCCACAAGTGGAGGGAGAGCCAGGCCTGCTTCTAGAACAGTCATTCTCAACTTTGGTTGCACGTTAGCACCTCCTGGGGAACGACAAAAAATACCCACCCCCCAGGCTCTGCCCCTCAAAGACCATAATTAAATTAGTCTGAGCGGGGCCGGGAATCCAGTATTTTTTAAAGGCTCCCCAGGCGATTGTCCTGTTGCACTGAGGTTGTAAACCACCGCTTTAAAGCCTTGCTCCTCCAAGTGCGCTCCTCTGCCATCACCCGGGAGACAGGCCAGCACAGTCCTGGGCTCCACCCCAGAGCAGCCAAGGTAGACTCCGCACCTTGCCGAGAGCCCGGGGCGGTTTGAGGCACTCAGGTAGGGGTGCTTCCTTCACGGGAGCAGGGGGCCTGCTGTTCCCGAATGGAGGAACCTCACAAGGACACCCGGGAGCCTTCCCATGCAGGACGGCAGCACAAATGTCGCAGATCCCCACCAAACAGGCTAGCCAGCCCTCGTCCCCTGCGGGGGCAGCTGTAGGGTGGGGCTCAGAGGAGTGTCAGGTGTTCCCGTCAACATTTCTGCCTTGCGGGGAGAGGAAGAGTGGATGGAATCGTCCAGCCCCCCTTGGATGGGGCAGAGCCACGAAGGGGGAGAAATGCCTTCCTGCTGCCTGCAGCCGAGCACCGTGCATAACTGCCCCGGGCCTCGGGTTCCTTTTCTGTAAAGTGGAGGGAGTGGCGGCCTGGCGGGTAGGGCCTGGATGAGACCATGTGGGTAAGTGCTAAGCTCGTGACTGGCACTGGTGAGGGCTGGGCCAGGGCTTGCCTGGCACACTCTGCCACCTTCTTGGCCAGAATGGATCAATTTTTCACGCCTCTTGAACAATACCTCTACTGTGATCTCCTCCCAGATTAAGTTTTAGCCTTACCTTTGAGGCTTCCAACTCTGCTAAGACAGCACAGTTCACATCTAACAGCAGGCAAAGGTGGCAGCCTGGGAGGTTCCAAACAGTGTTCGTGTCACCAGCTTCCCTACTCGGGGTGCACTTGGCAAAGACGCTCCTGAAAGATAACAAGAACAAACACTTGGCCTGCTGTGCCAACACCTTCGGACCCACTATTTCATTTCATCTTCCCCAGCACTTTGTGACGTGGATATTATCATCTGTGTGGGAAAGCTGCAGATCAGAGAGGGCAAGTGACCTGCCCAGGCTCACACAGCCATGAAGCCCAACTGCTAAGCTGTGATTGGATGGCATTCTGGTTCCATCTGACTCTGAATCCTGCTCTCTCACTCTCCTTGCTGTCTTCCCTTCTTTCCTCTCTTCCCTTGTTTTTTATTTCCACTCAAAGAAAATTGAATTAATTTTTACTGAAAATGAAAATTGATGTAATAGGAAGATACAATTCCATCAGGAACTGGAAATCAATGCAACTGCTAGAAAATAATTTAATGATCTGTAGAGCCACATTCCACAATGATCCCAACATCTGTGTGTAAAATACACACGTGCACATAGACATGACAGCTCAGCGATGCCAGGGACTCAGGCCTGAGAGCTCCTTGGTGGGTGCACACACGCTGAGCTCCCTAAGACGCAGGAAGCTAACACCTAATGCCTGGGGAAGCAGGTCCTCCGTATTTGGGGCTGGCAGAGACTGGCTTGTCCTACCTGAGGCCCAGAGCTTCCTGCTCAGGCCATATGTTAGATTCCCAGGGCTTCCATAGCAAACTGGATGGCTTCAAACAATTGAAATGTATTTCCTTATGGTCCTGAAGGCCAGCAATCCCAAATCGAGGTGTCATGGCAGGGCTGTGCTCGGAGGCAGATTCCTCCTTGCCTGTCCCCCAGCTTCTGGTGGCTTCTGGCACGTCTTGGCTTGTAAACGCATCACCCTAATCTCTGCCTCCATCTTCCCTCCCTGTATGCCTGCATCTCTCCTTTCTCTTAGAGAGACCCCAGCCATTGGATTTAGGGCCCCCCACTACAGTATGACCTCATCTTAACTTGATTATATCTGTGAAGACTTTATTTCCAAATAAGGTCACATTCACAGGTACCAGGGGTTAGGACTTGACAGATCCTTCGGCGGGGGGGGGGGATATAATCCAACCTATCACACACTGTTCTGTCCCCAGAGACCCCTGGAGTCCAGTTGAGGGGATCCAGCATCAGCTTCTCCCTGGGCCCAGGGGCAGCCCTCTCTCCTGCTGGTCTAGACCTGTCCCTTCGCTGTTCCCTCTCATCACTCTGCCACCTTTTCTGGCCCCCTGGCCTCCCTCAGAGCCCCCCGAGGTCAGCTGGGTCTGCCAGATGCGGAGGCTCAGCAAAGAGGATGCAACATCCAGCCCGTGTGTGCTCACCGCACTGCTCCCTGGGGACCTGCCCAGCTGTCTGAGCGGGTCGTATTCAGAACCCCATCTCATCATGACATGGGGGATCATTGACTCCATTGCACAGATGGGGAAACTGAGGCTCAGAGAGGCAAGTGACTTGCCCATTGTCACACAACTAATGAATGGCACAGTTGGGACTTGAACCCAGGTCTTCAGATGCTAAGTCCAGGATTACTGTCAATTGGCTGCCTCTGTGACATCACGTGGAGGGGCCAAGCATCAGGCAGAGGAGCCTTCTGACCAGAGCAGGACCGAATGGCATTGATGCTGGAGACAGGGAGGTGGCCACTTCTCCCGCCAGCCCCCCAATTCCAGGCCCCACGGAAGACACATGGATCAGACGTCATGAGAATTACCTCTTTAGGAACATAAATACCCCCCTCTTGACGGCCCAGCACCATGCCTTTCCGCTTGTTACGGCAATCTTTCCCCATTTTTTAGCATCTTCTCTTCAGAATGTTTCATGCCCTGAATAGATGATAAGTGGGGCGTAAATCAGGAGCCAAATGCCAGGACTTGCCTTCTCGGTGTCTCTTTGCTGGGCTGCCGGGTGCGTTTGCTGCTGCTGGTCTAGTAGTTATTTTAACCGTTGCTTGGTTTTAAGGGCTGTTGATGTATCGGTGGCCTTTTTATATATGGTGGATCATTTGTGTGACTGATTTCGCAGCTCATGCCACCCGCTGAAAGACACCCCTGGAAACAGACCCAGCAACTGAGCTCGCAGGATGAAACAAGTGCAGGGCAGCCCCGGCCTGAGAGGGAGGGCTGTGATTACAGCCCCCCTCCGCAGCAGCGTGCGCAGGCCGATTGGATACGGTTACCGCGGAAAGAAAACAGAGGGAAATTGATAGAATTCAGGTGTCAGTCTTTGACATTAAAATCCTTTCTCACTCAGTAAAGAGTAAATGATGTGGACGGAGGTAAATAGCAGCCTGTGGCCAAATTAGACTCCAAGAAATGGTCTTGCCCTGCCTGTTGGAGTTTCAGCCACTGTGAGAATCCCTGGATAGATCTTGCAAGATGATTGTGAAAAAAAAGAGAGAAAGAGAGTCATTGTTCAGCTTCTAGAACTCAAATCGATCAAACAGCTCTGTAATGAGGGCTACTTACTCCCCATCACCCCGTTGGGACTGGTCCACGGCTGCTGTGTGTCGTTGGCAGGCAACAGTCACTATCAGAGTGGATTTGCCCAAATGCCCAAGTTTATGGGGCATTGTCCCAGAGGCACGGACACAGGGACGCTTCTGTTTGCGCCAGAGAATATTCTTTTGCTCCAGGTTTAAACAATTCAGCACTTTGAAAAGGTGGCTCAATTCCCGGTTCTAACACAGTTCCTTTGATTTTTTTCTATTTTTCCCCCTTCCTCCTTTTCTTTAAAAACACGTTATTTAAGAAACTGAAAGCTTTAAAGACAACACGAAAGTAATTATAAAGGTATCACCCAGCTTAAGAAATAAAACATGGCATGTACATTAAAACCACTCGTGTCCCCACTCCAGCCACCTCCCGACCTGTCACCTTGCAGGTGGCCTCTTCCAACCAAAGCAGGTGCTACTTAACCACAGACATTTTTGTACCTTAAGCGACCTACAGTGTGGTTTTACACGTTTTGTTTCATAGAAATGACATCATTTATATATTATACCTGATATGCCTTCTTTCACAACTAGGTTTTCTTCTTCCAGTGTTGCTTGTGGGATGTATCTGAGTTGATACAGGTAGTTTTGGTTCAATCATTTTAACTGCTGTAAATATTCCGTTATATGAAATGTTCAGTTTTCCATTCTCTTGTGGATGAATCTGGGGTGTGTGTGTGTGTGTGTGTGCACTAGGGTAAACCATGCCTGTGAGCTTTTCTCTTCACCCTCCTCCCCAGGATAGGAGCCAAAGCACACTTCTTGGGCCCCGCCCATCCCTCCTGCCCCGCCTGCCAGCATCTCAGAGGGAAGCAGTGCCGTCTGCTGCCTGTCAGGGTGAGGGCTGGGCTCAGCGCCCAGGCTACCTTCTACCTTCCACAGAGGCCCTTAAGGGAGGGAAGCCTCCTCCCCTCCCCTCTCACAGGGCACAGAGGATGCCCCGCCCTGGCCTCCGCCCTGGGCTCTGTGCCTGCATGGGCCGGCACACGGAGCCCTCCAACCCTGCGGGGAGTTGGCCAGGCTCTGGGTGGGGGAAAAGACTTTACCTCCATCTGGAGTCTATTTTCCCCAACAGAGACGACAGGTGTGGTGGGAGGAGCGGAGGTATCAGGGGAAGCAACTCTGGTCACTGGGAGTGTTCAGGGCACAAAAGACACAGACAGAGCTGGCCAGTAGAAGAAGACATCCCCTGGGGCATTGCAAAGTCACACTGGGAATTTTTTAAATGTCAAGCTTTTAAAATGTCCACCTTTACCCAAGAGAATGGGTAAATCATGAAAATTTTACATAATGGAGTATCACTCAGCAGTGAAAATGACTGAACCAGAACTGTGTGCATCAACTCAGCTAAATCCCATGAGCAAGGCTGACTGGTAGGGCCTGGGTGTGGAGGAAGGCACACAGCGTGGCGCCATGGACTTGAAGCCTGAACCTCAGCAGAGAGGGCCCAGCTTGCAAAGAGAAGCCATCAGGTGACCCAGCGCAGGGAATGGTTCCCACCCATGTGGCAGCAGTGGGGACTCTGAGCTGGCCCTTGAGAGCTGAGCACAGTGCCCAGTGCACTGTACCCGCTCTACCCATGTGGGCTCTGATGATCCCTTTTACCATGTCTGATACAGATTAGATTTCATGTAAGTTTTACTTTGAACAAAAGTGTTCTCCTGCTTAAACAAAATGTTTGGAAATTCCTGACCTTGTCTTTCTCAAGGACAGAAGACACAGCAACCGGAGGGGTGCCATGACTCAGCCAGCTCCCCCACCACCAGCCCATCCGTGGTCCCCAGGATTTCAGCCGATCACCTCACTTCTCTGGACCTGGGTCTCCTGCTGACTAGACAATCTCAGGTCCCTCCAGTGCTGGGCTTCCTCAGAGAGTCCTCTCCTCTTCAGAGACCACAGAACCAGGCAGGATGGATGGATGTGGTGGGTAGGATGCAAGAGTCAGAAACGTGGAGCTTGGGAAAGATGAGTCCCAACCAGAGCACCAAGACCAGTGCCCTGGGGGAGAAGGCCAGCCCGCTGCGGGCTGAGCGCCCTGCAAACAAACCCCAGACCCCAGGCCCTGAGCAGGCAGGAGTCAGTGTGCAAGGCGATGCTGCACATCTGAGGGATTTGCAGCATCAGATGCCCTGCAAAGCCACCTTTTTGTGCTGTTCTGCAGCTGATGAGGTCCAGGCCTCTGGAACAGAGGAGCAAATGCCTGGACCTGCTAAAAAGGACTGACTAGTCTGGTGTTTCTAGAAAAAACAAAATCAAGACCTCCTGGCTGGGTCAGCAGCAGCCCAGGGAGGTGAAGACTCAGACCCACAGTCTCACAGCCCTGGGAGGTGGGCGTCTGGGATGGAATCTTGTGGCTGGGAGGACCTCAAAGCATCCCTAGCCTAGAGGCCCAAGACCCTCCACAAAGGTTTCTGATTTCTCAGAAGTGTGGGGCTACCAGGGACCAGAGGCAGCCTTGTCCACCAGGACGTGGGTCCTTGAGGAGCCCTGGGGGAGTGGGATCCAGCACACTCCCCTGCCCACTGGGGATGCCCAAGGGGGCGTGGTGGGGCATGACTCCATCACCTCGGGCAGCTTCATGGTCTCCAGAGCTGAGCCAGCAAATGCTGGTCCAGCTGGGGGTGCAGACTTGAAACAATGTAATCTGTTTTGGCAAAAATCCTTCTTTCAGCTGTTCAAGAAGAAGTTCTATACCATGTTTGCCACTGTTCTAGGTCCTGGAGTAAACAAAATAGACACAGATCTCTGTTTGCCTGAAGCTTACAGATAACAAGAAGTAAGATATGTCATCTCAGGCAGTGATAAGAGCTAAGGAGGAGAATGAGGCAGGGAAGGGGTGAGAAGCACTGTGGGGAGTGCCGGAACAGGCCTCATGGAGGTGGCGGCATTGGCGTGAAGGTGTAAAGGAGGAAGGGAACCATAAAGACATATGGGGAAAGAGCATTCCAGACAGAGGGCACAGCAAGTGCCAAGGCCCTGAGGTGGGCATGTGCCTGGCCTACCTGAGGAGTACCAAGGAGGCCAGCATGGCTGGAACAGTGTGAATGAGCATGACAGTTACAAGAGAAGAGATCTGATGGCCACAGTCTGGTCATGTGGGGCCTCATGGGCCACTGAGTACTTCAGCTCTTCTTCTATATCAAATGGAATCATTGAGAGAATTTGAGCAGATAATTATGAACGTGAAAATCCCAAATTATGAGCAGACATAAGTTTTGTTTTATTTTATTTGTTGCTAATTTGAGTCAATGAAATCCAACTAGTATGGTGTAGTGTTGTATAGAGTTACATTAGGTTTCTCCAGAGAAACAAAACCAGCAGGATGTGTGTGTGTGTGTGTGTGTGTATAAAAGTGACTTACTGTAAGGAACTGGCTTACACAATTATGGAGGCTGACAAGTTGAGTGAGTTGGGGCCAGCTGGAGACCCACGAGCCCTGATGCTGTAGTTTAAGACCAGAAAGAGCCCATGTTTCAGTTCCTCCTTGGCAGGGAGGCAAGATGGGTTCCCTCCTACTCAGTCAAGAAGAAGGGTCAGATTTTTCATTCTTTTCAGACCTTCAACTGATTTAACATGGCCCACCCACATTAGGAGGACAAACTTCTTTACGCAGTCTGTCAATTCAGACGTTAGCCTTATCCTGAAACTCCCCCCCACACACACCCAGAAGAACTTCTGTCCAAAAATCTGGGCATCATGTGGCCCAGTCAAGTAGACACACAAAACCAACCACCTCAAGGCTTCAAGAAAGAGTGAAAACCCCAACTCCACCCTTTCCTAACTCTGTGACCCTGAGACCTTAGGGAACCACTTTAAGCCTCAGGTACTTCATCTGCAAAATGGGAACAGAGCTAGCTTCACAGGCATTGAACCTGTGCAGTCATACTTAGAAGAGTTCTAGCTTAATTCTCTGCTACTGTCACCTTGAAATTCTTAGTCTTTTAACATGAGGCCTTCATTTTCATTTTGCTCCATGCTCCACAAGTCACATAGCTGGTCCTAAATGGGGACGACCTCGACTTCTTTGCAGGGTCCTCATGAGGATCGAATGAGACAACACAGGTGAAGCACTCAGCACCTTGTCTAACACAGTACATGCTTTATAAATGTCCTTTCCAGCAAGGACAAGCCCCACTCGGGGCCAACCCGAGGGCCATGGAGGTGAACCGTTAACAGCACCTGCCCTGCAGGAACGCACGGTCCAGGTAGAAACAGTGTGAGATGCTGAAACAGGCACATGAGGCAGCCCCGAGGAAGGGTGCCTCCGAAGTCTTCATTCTGGCTGGAAATTTGGGAGGTTTGGAGAGTCCTGGGAGGAAGTGATGAGGATGAGAAAGAGTCCAGCAGGAGGTCCCAGGATCTGGAGGAAGAGCTGAATCGGGAGAGGGGAGGAGAGGGCGGGAGGACTGAGCCCAGAGCTGAGGTTCTGATTAGAGGCTGTGATGAGCCAGGCCCTCTGAGGCCACACCCCATAGGGTCACTCCCCACTGGCCTGGGACCTGAGAGACCAAGGTCCAACCAGCTGGCTGTGTCCCCTCTGTGGGCCCCACAGTCTCTGAGCCCCAGGTCCTCACCAAGTAAATGGAGAAATGAAACTGGTGAGGATAAATGTTAAAATGCACAGAAAATGACACCTGATGGGGTAAAGGGTACTATACAACCCAGGGTAGGTAGGAAGGTGCTTCTGGGAATGGCAGGAGATGCAAGGCACCTGGCCTTAAAGGGCTCACTTTGTAACCACAGGCACCATTCTAACCTGCTCACTGGCAGAGAGGCCCGACCTAGCTCTCTGGCCTCCAGACCCACCTAACCCCCACCTGACCCTCACCCCCCATTCCCCCGCCCCAGTCTTTTCACCACAAAGAACTCAGAAGGATCCTTTTAAATGCCAGATGGGTTTATATCACTTCCCTCTACAAAACGCCCTGGGGCGCCTGTATTTTGAGATTAAAATGACCCCTCCATCCTCTGTGACTCTGTGACATCATCTCCCTCTCCTGGCCCCCCAGTTCAGCACTAGGGACAGCTGCCACCTTCTGCACGGGAAGCCTGTAGCCCAAGCCAGCCATCACAAGGCCTTTGTCCTTACTGTTCCTTCTGGCTGGAACAATTCTCCACCCATGGCAACTCCCTTCCATGGCTTACTCCTACATTTCACTCAGTTACTGTTCAGTTGCTCCCTCCTCAGCCAGGCATCCCTTTACCCCACCCCTTCCTCATCTCAAATTTCATCATAGTCACTCCCTTTTCACCTTGCTTTATTGTCATCATTGCCCATATTATGACATATTTCTCTTGTTTATTTTCTGTCTCCCCACCAGAATACAAGCTCCACAAAGGTGAGGACTTTTATTTTGTTTATGTTATGTTGTATCTCTAACATTGAAGGTTGTGCCTGGCCCAAGATAGGCAGTTATTTGTCAAATTGATGGATTCCAATTTTATAGGTACAGAAACTGACACTCGACAAGATTACACATTTTGCCAATGACCCACAGCTCTGGAACTGAAACAGGTCTCTTCTTTGGGCAGTGGTGTGCTGGCAAAGTTGAAAACTGGGCTTTCCGCAGGGAGGGGCTGGGGGCTTCTGGGAGAAGGTCCTGGTTGCATTTGCTGATTTCCATGGCGTAAATACTTCTTCTGTCACCAATTTCAAGCTATTGACATGCCATTACTGAAT